GACAGGGAGGCTTAGTCCAAGGGAAACAGGGTGAGAGGGCTGAGCACACCCCAATAGGACCCCAGGAGCTGGGCTGGTGAGTGTGCATGGGAGGAACACAGTTTTGGGATATGGTCAGAAAAGTGCTCCCAAATCTGTGCGTCAGGGATCAGCTGTGTGAGCTTGTGTGACCAGTGTGTGTGTGTGTGTGTGTGTGTGTGTGTGTGTGTGTGTGTGTGTGTTAAGGGGTGACTGTTGTGTCTCCGAGCCTGTGGGCTTGTGTCTGAGTCTGGGATCAGATGTGGGTGGTGGCAGTGCAGTGGGGTGTGTGTATGCACGTGTGCGTGTGTGTGTGTAGTCATTCTCGGGAGCTGAATGTAACGGGCGGCTATACACTATCAGCTCATAACAACCCTGAGTGTGACCAACCCCAAAGAGGGCTGAAGGCTGTGTGTTGGGTTTGTGTGTGTGTGTGACCGTTGGGTGGTGCATGTGTGTACTGCTTGTGTGAACTGATGCACAGAGATATGTGGGGCTATGTCTCTGATGTGTGAGCACTGGTGTGTCCGGTGCCACGGTGCTGCGTGTGTTCCAGGGGCCTGTGCGGCAGGTGTGCCGTGTGGGGATGAGCCGGCTCGCGGAGGAACCAGCCTCTGGTGGGATGACAGTGTGTGGCCTTGAGAAAAGTAGTGAGGGCTGTGTGTGTGTGTGTACACAAGAGTGTGTGTCTGTGCACACCCCAGGCAGAGATACTCCTGCCCAGGGTCAAGCTGGAACATAGGCTTGATGTGGGCAGGGTGGGAATTGGGGTCATCGCAGGGGTAGCTACAGTTCCAGGCAGGAAAGCCCACCACCCTCCTGACTCCGTCCTCCTTGGGACACCACGGGGTCTCCTTGGTGCCTGCGGTGGGACAGTCCTTGATCCTGGCTTTGTGTACACGTGGACGAAGCCATGAACTGTGTGGACAGGTGTGTGTGTAAGCACACGTACATACAGTGTGACAGCAGGCAGCTGGGCTGTGTGCAGCAGATAGGACAGGGCATGTGTGGTGTACACAGTGGGTCTACTGGTGAGTGTCCAGAGAGGGTTTGCACAGGGGACTGTTGTGTAGACACAAATGTGTCTACTGTGCATATAGATGTGTCTACACAGTGTGCGGTGTAGGGAGGGGCACGTTCCCAGGGTGGGCACAGCGTCAGGGTGCATGTGTGTGTCCGAGCGTGATGTGTGTGCCTGGGCGTGATGTGTGTGCCTGTTGGTGTGTGCGTGCAGGGGCAGCGGAGGAGAAGGGTCTTGGGCCGCATCTCTCTCCTCTTTAGACAGAGCCCCGGAGAAGATATGAAATTTAAAAAAAAAATCAATTTTCATTCCACTTGTGCAGATTGTGTTGGGGGGGGTGCTGGGTGAGGGATGAAGGGGCTGGGGGCGGGTGTGAGGCCCGAGGCGGCTCCCGAGGCGGCCGGAGCAGCTTAGAGAAATCAAAACAACTGGTTAAACCCCAGCCCGGGGGACTGGGTGATGTGGGGTGAGGAGACAGAGGCGAAGAGAGACGCAGAGAGACAGGATGGAGACAGAGATGCCCAGAGACAGAGATACTTGGAGATAGAGGCAGACAGAGACTTGGAGCAACAGAGCCTCTCAGTGAGAGAGAGAGAGACACTGACACCCAGTGGGGCCTGAGAGGGGCTGGGGGACCTGTCTCTAGAGAGGACAGCAGAAGCAGGCCTGGGACAGGCATCTCACACACACCCCCACCACACGCAGAGACATGCCTGTGAAGCCCACAGATGGGTGGATGGACAGTCAGACCGCTGGACAGATGGCAGCTGGAGCAGAAGGGTCCCTGGGTGGGTTACCCCTGAGTGCCCCTTCCCACCCCTACACAGCCCCTCAGTCGGCCTGTGGGTCTGCCTGGGTGCACATGCGTGTGTATGTGTGTGTGAAGCCATGTGTGCTTTCAGGCTGGTGGTGTCTGCAGTGTATGCATCTCTGTTCCCATGTGTGACAAAGTTCATGTGCATGCAGGGTCTCTGGTGCTCGTCTGTGTGACTGTGTGCTGTGTGTCACTTGGGTACGACTGGCTCAGCTGAGCTGGTGCATGTTCTGGGTGCCAGGCGTGCCTCTGTTTCTATGCTGGCTTTGTGCCAGAGTGTGCTTGTGGGTCTGAGTCTGGGTTTGATGGTGAGACTTGGTGTATGAGTAGGTGTTTATGTCAGTGCATATCTGTCTATGATTTGTGGCTGTGTGCCTCTGCTTCCATGTGGGACCGAATTGCTGTGTCCTGTGTATCTGTGTATAACTGGGTATCTGTCTCTGACTCTGACCTTGATGTGTGTGTGACAGTCGTGGAGTGTGTGACTATTTTGACATGAGAGCTGGGTGTTGTGTGTGACATGAGTTGCCTGGGTTGCTGTGTGGGTCTGTGAGATGTATGCTGGTTGTGACAGCCTTGGTGTGTATGGTTTTGCTCACACGTGCATCACACATCTGTATGGTGTGTGTTGTGTGTGACACGGTGTGTTGCTTTGTTGACCTGTGTCTTGCGGTGGGGCAGTGTGTATGCCTGGGCTGGTGTGTGGGCCTGTGTAAGTGCCTGGCAAGGAGAGCAGGACGCAGCCCCGCATGCCCAGCCCCTCGCCACACTGCCGCACACTCAGCGCACACACATTCTGTACCATGGCTGCTGGCGGTGGAGATGGGGGGGCGGCGGGGGGGGGCGGTGTTGGAGGAAGCAAAATAAAATTAAAAATTAAAGCTTGCCCGGAGTCCCCATCTGCACCTTGCCAACCGGCAAGGAGGGGCGGGGGCTGCCGAGGCTCCCACTCCACAGCCACCCGGGCTGGGGTTGTCTGTCTGTCCATCCAGTCATCCTACCGGGCCCCTGCCCACCCCGCAGGCCCCGCTCCCTCCATGGGTCGATCAGCGATCGATGGGGCCAGGAGGGCGCCAGGGGCAGGGTGAGATCAAAGGGACCCCGAGAGACGTACGCCGGGACGGAAACAGAGACGCAGAGACCGAGACCGAGACAGAGACAGAGAGTGGGGAGGAGAGACGTGGGGACCCAGAGACATAGCAGCACGGTGGTGTGGAGGCAGGGAGACGTGGGGACCCGGGGTGCGGCACCTCGGACCTGACGGTCAGGGCAGACCTGCAGGGACAGGGACGGAACGGGACGGGCAGGGACCGTCTCTGTGCGCCCGACGGGACAGAGGCGGGAGGAGAGGCAGGCAGAGACCGCGAGACGGCCGAGATGCGCGGGAGCGACGGCGGGGGGAGCGCGGAGCAGGGCCCCGAGCGCCGATCCCACGGCTCCTCGTTATAACGTGTCCGGAGGAGGCGGCGGGGAGTTGAAAGCGTCGGGAAGAGAAATCAAAACCAACACGGAAATGAGAGGGGCCGGCGGGGGGGAGGGGAGCCCGAGAGGCCGCGGCGCGGAGGCGGGAGAGGCGGGGAGGGGGCTCCGCCGGTGGGGCGGGGGCCGGGGAGCGGGGCGGGGAGCGAGGGGCCCAGGGGGTGCGTCCTGGGGGGACAGAGCAGGAGAGGGGCGGCGGCGGGGCCGGGGACAGCAGAGACTGAGGGTGGGGGGCGGGAGACACGGGGAGACGCGGGGTGGAGGGGAGCCGGGGAGAGAGGGAAAACGGAGAGGGTGTGGGGGAGGAGACCGACGGGAGCGGAGGGGAGAGGGGGTGAGGGGCGAAGAGGGAAGGAGACAGGGACAGGGACACACGGAGCTGGGGAGCTGGTGGGAGAGGGGGGCGGGGCAGCCGCAGGGGCTGAGCGCCGGGGAGGCGGCCCGGGCCGGGGCGCGGGGAGGGGGGCGCTGACCGCCCGTCTGGGGTCCAGACTGTGAGGTGGGCTTCACGGGGGGCAGAGCGTCTGTGGGCTCTCGGGGAGCAGCGGGGTGTCTGAGATGAACGGTGTGTGATGGGGGGCATCTGCAGGGGTGTGTCAGGAGGGAGTGAGCAAATGCTGAGGGGTGGGTTCCGGAGGGTGGGGTGGTGAGGGGCTGCAGAGTCTCAGCAGGAGGGTGTGCTGGGGCGGCTGCCCAAGAGGAACACATGTCCGAGGGTGTGGGTGTCTGAGGACGGGGTCTGGGGTGGTGGGGCATCTCAGGGAGGCGCTGTCAGAAGGGAGAGGTTCTGAGACAGGGGAGGGAGGGGATGGCGTGTCTTAGGGGGGTGAGGTATCTGAAGAGTGGGCGTCTGAGAGGAAGCAGCTGTCTGGGCGGGGAGGCATATCCAGGGGAAGGGGCATCCCAGAGGGGCTCTCCTGGGAAGGCAGACCTAAAGGGACGGGGGTCCGAGGCGGCTGTCTGGTGGTGGAGGCGGGTCTAAGTGGTAGTGGTCCGAGGGGGAAGCAGCAGGTTGGGGGGTCATCTGTGGGAGCGCTCATGCGGGGCGCTGGGGTCTGCTTTGCGGGCTGGGTGGGCAGAGGGCAGGGAGGGCAGGGGCTGGGCCTGCCACCTCCTAGCCCCAGCCCACGGGGTAGGAGCCGGGTCTGGCCCGCTTGGGGCGGCAGATGAGAGCAAGGGCCTGCGCGGGAGCAGGAGGAGCCGCGGAGGGGAGGGGTCGGCCGAACGGGTCTGGTTGGGGGTGAGGTTTGGGGCCAGATAAATCTGGGGCAGCCAGAGAGAGGCGGAGGGCCCCCAGAGACGACCCGAGGGGTCACAGGAGAGACGGACCGAGAGACGGTGCAGAGACCACGCGGGCGCGGGTGGGCACGGGGGCCGGGGGTGTGGGCGAGTGGCAAGGAGCGAGCCGGGAGGCCGGGAGCTGCGGTTAGTGATCAAGGCGCAGAGTAAGGGGGAGAGGAGAGGCTGGGAGGGAAGGAGGGGTGGCGCAGGGCCAGAGGGGGACCAGGAAAGATGGGGACCAGCGGGCGAGAGGTGCCTGCGGGAGGAGGCGGGCGGGCATCGGGCGGGCGGCCTGGGCGGAGGGGCAGCCTCTGCCCCCGCTGACCCTGTCTGTCTCTCCCGCCTGCCCCATCCTGTCCCTGCATGTCTGTCCCGGCTTCTCTGCAGGGCCGGCTCCACCATGGATTGTAGCTGCGTCTCCGACCTTCTCTTCGCCCCGCCCGCCCTGCCAGCTCTCTGGACCCCTGGTAACTGGCCTGGACCTCCACCTTCTTCCCCCAGCCCTTGGGCCTTCCCAGCCCTTCCTTTCTGCATCTCTTTCTTTCCCTTCCACCTCCCCAGGGCTCCATCAAGAGTCCCCTGAATACAGCTTCTTAATGAAAAACTTGGCTAAAAACTTCACAGTCAGATGTCCCTGCCACCTACACGCTGGGACGTGAGGCTCTTTTGCAGGGTTGGTGAGGCAAGTTCAGAGCAGGACAAGTTCAGAGTGGGACAAGGATCTAGGAGCCTGAAGTCCAGGGGTCTCTGCCTTATTTATCTCAGCCTGCTGCCATCCAGGACCTGGGGGCAGAGAGAAGCAGGGAACTGGGGACAGACAGATGCTAATAGAGCAGAGACAGAGACCAGGGTGGCACCACCAGGTGCTGGTGGACAGATGGACAGATGGGCCACCCGGGCAGCGGGACGTGGAGACATGGCCCAGCCAGCTGGAGCCCTGGGAGAGAGGACAGCTTGTTGGGAAGTGGACGCTCAGAGCTGGGGACGTGGACAGTAAGACTGGCTTGGACACGCATTTGAATCCAAGTCGCATGCTCTTGCAGATGGGCAGCGTGTGTGTGTGTGTGTGTGTGTGTGTGTGTGTGTGTGTGTGTGTGTGTGTGTGTGTGTGTGTGAGCGCGCGCGCGCGCACTGACAGTCTGTGCCCAGTCATTTGGGGTCTCAGAGTATGTGCCTGGGTCACCCTGGGAGAGTATATTTGCCAGCGTTTCTGTCTTTGTGCGAGCTGATGTGCCTGCCTGAGTATCTGAGGCTGCTTGAGTGTCTCTGGGCTGGCTGTGTCATGTTTCTTTGGGACGTTGAGCATGTCTATGTTTTAGAATTGGGGAGTGTCTGCCAGCTGTCTGAGTGTGTGCTTGCCTCGGTGGGGTGAAAACCCTCAGGCTCTGCCTCATGGGTCCTTCACCAGGTGTGTGGCATTCCAAGTGAATGTCTTGGTACATTTCAAGCTATGTGGGTGTCGCCAGGCCTCTGTGTTGGGGTGTGAGTGTGAGGTTTCTTGCATCTGTGTGTCACTGTGTGGGATGTGTATCAGGGGCTGTCAGTCACAATGTGTATCTGCGGGCTGGGTCTGCGGGGCCTTAGTGGTGTGTATGTCTCAGCAAGTACAATACCTTCGAGAACGTGCTTTGGAGGACAGGTGGTGTTTCTGGGTTGGGCTGTGCGTCTGCATGTGTGAGGCCAGTAGCACATTGTCACCTTTGGGGTTGTGTGGATGTGTTTGGGATACAGTTGCTTCCCCACTAGGACATGTTCTGGGTGTGGAATGGGCCAGAGCTTGCATGTTGATTGAGCCCTGTCATCTGAGGTGCCAAAGACCCAAAGTGGAGTTGAGAGAAAAAGTCTCCCTTAGGGAGGAAGCTGCCTGGCCTCCAGCTTTCTGGCAGGGAGGCATTAGCACCCACTTTTATGCACCAGGCAGCCTGCATGGGACCCTGCTCCTCCTTACCTTTCACCCCTGAAATTCTAATATGCCAGAAGGGAACAGAAGATGTGGCACAAGAGTGGGCACAGAAGCAGGACCCAGGGCCTGGGGCCTTCTGGATGGGAGGTGAGATTTTGGGGTGGGCAAGAACCTCCCATTTGCACCCAGCTTCTGGGTGTATTTGGAGGGTGGGCACAGGATGCCCATCTGTGTGTGGAATGTGCAATGCTGAGTGGACTGTGGGTGTTACAAGAGTGGCGCTTGTGGGTTTGGAAGGCTGCTTGTGCCTGTCAGGTTGACACGCGTGGTGTGACACTGCAGTCTCCACTGCCCTGCTCTTCAGACCTTTGTGGTCCTGCATGTCTGGTTGTGGTGGTGTGAGTGGCTACCAGTTCTGAGAGTCAGAAAGTGTAATTGTGGCAGCAGGGGTGGAATGTGCAGTGCTGCGTACCTGACGTGTCCGCCTGGTGGCACCCTGCATGTGGTGAGTTGTGCCCCAGCCAGAGTGTGGCACCCTGGTGCACCTGTATCCACAGTGTAGCTGGGTGTCCCTCACGGGTGAGTGGGCGTCTGTGTGACGTGTGCTGTGGGTATCTGTGTACACACTGCTCCCAGACCAACAGCATGGACAGAGGAGGGGGACATGGGACATGAGCAGTATGAATACATGGGCTGGCGAAGAGGCACTTGTGCACAGAGCCCAGCCTGGATGTGCTGGGGAGGGGTCAGTGGGGGGCTTTGGGGAGAGACAGGGCAGGGGGCAAGGGGCACGAGGGGAGACACCAAGAGTCAGGGATCTTGCAGAAAGCAGGAGACACCAGGGCAGGGCTGGTGGGACAGTGGACAGGGGCTACTGATGTTGGGGGGGGGCCTTCCTGGCAAGCTGCCCTCTCCTTCTCCTTCCCATACTGCACCCCAGGACGTGAGCCTGGGAGAGTTGTGTCAAGATAGATGATCAGGCTGCAAGTGCCAACCCAGGGACCCCAGAAGACTGAGTTCTCTCCCATTATTTGGACAATTTGGGGACTAGACACCAAGTGGGCACAGGGTGGGAACTGGATCCTAAAGATGCCTCAGGCTGGATGGTTGCCCATCAGGGTGACCAGGAATCAGGAGGACCGGATGCCTCCTGGGTTCCCAAGTCCAAGCAGGACCCAGAGCCTCACCTTGGCTTCCTAACCTGGGGCCACTCCCCTGTCTCTGTCCCCAGGGTTTGCCTTCCCGGATTGGGCCTACAAGCCGGAGTCGTCCCCTGGCTCCCGGCAGATCCAGCTGTGGCACTTTATCCTGGAGCTGCTGCAGAAGGAGGAGTACCAGGGTGTCATCGCCTGGCAGGGGGACTACGGGGAGTTCGTCATCAAGGACCCCGACGAGGTGGCTCGGCTCTGGGGCATCCGCAAGTGCAAGCCCCACATGAATTACGACAAGCTGAGCCGGGCCCTGCGGTGAGGCGGCCCTTCTCCCCTCACTGACCCTTGGCACCCTGTCCTTCCCAGGGAGCTTTCCAACTTCCTGGGGCAGAAGCTACTGGCTGTGCTCCATGGCTCCAGTCACCGCTCGCCTGCGGGGGGAGGGCAGAGGACGGAGCCACACGGGCAGGAGTCCCAGCCCCTGCCTTGGCCCATCCTTGCCTTGTCTAGGTCAGGGGATTTCTGCCCATTTCCCAAAATTGCTGAGCTCTGTGCATCAAGGTTCAGGGGCTCTCCCTCTCCCTCTGCCAGAGCCCCTCCCCAGCACCCCCGTCCTCCCTCTCCCCACAGCTACTACTACAACAAACGGATTCTCCACAAGACCAAAGGGAAGAGGTTCACGTACAAGTTCAACTTCAGCAAAGTCGTGCTTGTCAATTACCCACTGTTGGACGTAGCAGCGGCCACCACCGGCTCCCCACTCTTGCTCACACCTGGTCCCTTTGGGGGTGCCCCTGGGCCAGATGCTCCTCCCCTCACCCCTGAGGTGAGTTAGGGCCCTGGGTCCTAGAACCAGGCATTTGGTGTCCCCCCAGCCCTGAGCCCCTGGGGACAGTGCAGCTTGTCTGAGTAGTGCCACCTTCCTCACCAGACCCTGCAGACCCTGTTCTCAGCCCCACGCCTGGGAGAGCCGGGGGCCCGGGGGCCCCTGTTCACCCCTGAGACAGACAAACTGCGCCTGGACAGCCCTTTCCCGTTCCTGGGCTCTGGTAAGGGCCTGGGGTCCAAGGGTGTGGGCTGGGGACATGCTCATGTGTTTGAGGGAAGAGGATGGACAATGATGGGGAGACACAGGACGCATGGAGGTGGTCCAGGGCAGGGCTGCTGCGCACAAGTGTGTGTATGCATGCATCTGCGTGTGTGCACATTGTGTGTTACATGTGTGTGTCTAAAAGCCAGAGAACAATTCCAGGAGAGGCGAGGAGGGGAAATGGGGCAGGGGCACAGACTGGGAGGGTTTTCAGGGGGGCTAAAGAAGTGGGGAGATGGGGAGGTGAGATGGGGGAAGCTGCTGAGGGTTGGGGGGCACTGTGCGGGACAACAGGCAGAATATGGCAGGGAGGTGGCACCCTTTGCTAACCTCCCCTCCTGCCAGTGAGTGGCCCTGCCTGACCCACCCATGTACCCCTCAGGTGCCACCAGCTACTCCAAGCCTCCTGGCCTGCTGGGTCCCTACGGCCGCACCTTCCCAGAGTACCCCTGGAACTTTAACCCGTACCTCACTGGCCCCTTTCCCAAGCTGCCCCCCTCCCTCTACCCCCCCCATTTCTACCCTAATCCTTTGGCTAGTTCCCTGGGACACCTGTCCTCAGCAGGGGCAGGTGGGGGCCCTGCAGCTGCACCTCTGCTGGCTGCGAGTGGGGAGGGCCTGAGCCCTGAGTGCCCTTCAGGCCTGGCAGCAGCTCCACGCCTGGCATTGCCGGGGGCTGGGGGTCCGGAGGCCACGCTGGGCGGGAAGGAGGACAGTGACTCGGAGCTGGAGATCACCGACGTCAGCGGCTGCAGCTCCGACAGTGAGGGTGATGAGGGTCCCCCCGTGGCCCCGAAGGCCAAGGCCAGCAAAGGGGGGGTTGGCAGCTGAGCCGGTGTGGGGTGATGGATTCCGCCGAGGTGGGGACCGGGGCAGCTGCCCATACAGCCTTGACTGGTCTGCCCTCAGTATCCCACCCAAGGTGGGGGACCAGCTCTCGACCCCTCCCAGGGCCAGGCACATGGCTGCCCATCTTCTTCCCTAACCCCAGGCTGGGGCTTTCATCTCCCCATCCAGAGCAAGGAGGGAATGTGATGGCCTCCAGCTTCCTTCCCAGGTTCCAGTTTGAGGGGGGGTCCCCACCTGGCCCGACTCCTGAAGTGCAATACGGCGCCCAGCCTCCCTGCCCACCCCTGTGCTGTGACCTGTGTGTTTGTGCAGCCGTGTGACCCCCGTGCCGTTCTCAGTCCCGACACCTTGACACACAGGCCCCCTGGGGACAGGGAGCTCAGAGCAATAACCCCGCCCCCAGCCCCCACCCAGGAGGGTCCCCTCCCCACCAGTTCCTCACACCCTCTGAACAGCCACCTCCAGAGAGTTTACTACAAAAATAAAAGAATGGAAATGAGTGAGACGTGGGGCGCCCAGCATTGTGGGTGACCATGGGGGTTTGGGGTGGGAGTGGGTGTGTCTGGGGCCTGGGGACTAATTGTTAAAAACACCAGAATGAATGAATGAACAATTAGACAAAGGCAAGAGGCACAGAGGTTACATGGTGGGACAGACCCAGGAAGACAGTGCCAATCATGGAAGGTTCCAGATGCCACTCCAGGACCCCTAAACACCAACCTCTCTTTAGATAATATATATTAAAAAATAAACCTCCAATTCAGGGTATAAAAACAGAGCAAAGGCACTTTGGGGTGGGGGATGGAGGGATTGCCCCCCACCCAGGCAATACTGAGATGGCCCAGGAAAAGGAGTCCACTGCGGCACCTCCAGAATGAAGCCCTGAGTCCCCCAGGCAGAAGGCAGGAGGGAGAGAAGGCCGAGGCCAGTGGGAGGTTGGGGGAGGCCGTGATCCCAGCTGGGTCCCTCCAGATGTGCCCGGAGGCCCGGCTCCCTCTCCTCAGGCCCTTGGGGTGGGAGACGCTGCAGCAGCTGTGCAGTGGCGGGTGGCCCTCCATCCTCTGCTTCTTGTGAAAGGCCTGGGGGGTGCGGAGGAAGGGAGATGGAGAGAAGAGGGAGAGAAACAGCAAAAGAGGGAGAAAGGAGCCAGAGAAACCAGGTGAGAGGAGGGACAGGAGGTGGAGCGGGGAGATTCCGAGAGGCGAGGATGGAGGGAGAGAAATGGGGCTGTGGAGGGCCTCCCTGCAGTGCCCGCTCGGGTCCCCCCTTCTCCCCATCTCACTTGGGCCCCCAGCCCACTCACTTGCCTGGAGCAGGGAGCCTCAGGTACAGCCAGGCGGGGGTACGGTGTTCTCCCCCATCTGAGACAGGAGCAGTCGCAGGCGGCAGAATCCCTCTTCCACTTCCTGTTTGGGGGGCATCAATGAGGGGGGTCCCTCCAGTGAGTCAGCCCTTCCTCCCCTTGACCCCCAGGCCACCACCTCCATCTGTTTAATGGTCTCCTCCAGGCTTAGCAGCTCCTCCCGAATTTCCTGGGTCTGCGTGAGGCTCAGGGGGCTGCCCCCTGGGACCCCATCCTCTCGGGGAGGCCCTGCCCCGCTGTCTTCCTCCGTGGGAAACAGGAGCCGCTTCAGGGACAGCACTGGACAAGGATGAGGGGAGAGTCAGAGGCAGGGCTGCGGTGGGGGGGCAGCGGGGGCGGCTGCGGGGCTGGGCCTTAGGTCAGCCAGGCCCAGGGAGGATCAGAGAGGCTGCCGAGAAGGCTGCCCCGGCTGGGGTGGGGCGGGGCGGGGCGGGGCGGCGGCAGCCCTGGAGGGTGTGGGGCTTGGCTACCTTTCCGCAGGGCCTTGGCAGCCAGCTGGCCCTCAGGGCCAGGTCTGCAGAAGGGCAGAAGGGCACTGGGGAGTCTCTCTGTCCGACCTGGGGTGGGGGAGCAGAAAGGGTCCTCAGATCCTGCCGGGCTCCCTGTGGACACCCGCTGCCCCTCGCAGTGCCCCTCCGGGCTCACCATCAGCTGGGGGCATGTCTCGGCTGCCACTGCCATTCTCGGAGCTGCTAAGCAGGGGTTCCCGGGTGCTGGGGAAGGAGGTGCTGAGTGACGCCAAGGCCCCAGATCCCCCAGAAAGGCAGGGGCAGGGAGACAAGCTAGAGGTTGGGAGGCAGAAGGTCCCAAGACAGAGACAGAGGTCAAGGTTGGGAAATAGGGAGACAGGCCTGGACAGGAGCCAGTTGGGCGGGCAGCGGTCGGGCAGCACACCCCACACCCCCACAGGCACACACACACACGGAGACAGGGCTAGAACGTGGGTCCTGGGCACCCACAAGGAAGAGGCCCCTGACCTGGGCCCCCCTCACCTGCTTGGGCTGGGCCGGGGTTTGGGGCGAGAGGCAGGTGCAGGGACCTTCAGGGATCCAGCAGTCTCGGTGATGAGGGCACACCAGCTGGGAAGACAGGTCAGCCCCTGGGCAGTCAGAACCTCCAGACCTTGTGCCAGAGCCTCCCACCCCACCCTGACCCTGGAAACCCAGAGGCCTGGGTCTCCTCCTCCACCTGAGCTTGGAACCCAGACCCCCTCACTTCTTCCGCTCTGACACGGTCTGTGCCACCAGCTCGTATATCTGGGCCTCCTGGTCCCAGGTAAAGATGACATAGAAGGCTTTGTGATCTGCAGGGGGAGGGAGAGGAAAGGCACAGGGCCATGGTCACCCCTGCGGGGCCCTTCCACGCCTGGGCCAGAGGTTAAGGAAGCCCCTATGACGGTGAGGTCCTTAGGGCTCCCACAAATCAAGCCCTCCCCACCCCCACCGTGCCCTCCTCCTCACACCCCCTTCTCAGCCGAGCCCCCAGCGTGGCTCTACTCACAGCCCTTGGAACTACTCCCACCACCACGGCCCCGTGTAGCCTCTTGGTGGCATATTTACAAATCCTGCCTTCCTGGGCTTCTGCCTTCTACCCACAATCCCACTGCCCTGCCACCACCAAGGGACAGCCAGGGTGTCTTCCCAAAATGCCAGTCAGACCTGGCTGCTCCTCTGTGCAAAAACCTGGGGCGGTTTCGCTAATAAATCCACATCTTGCCTCACCTAATAGACCCACAGCCCAGCCTGGCCCCCTGGATATGCCGAGCCAAGGGCCGCCCCATTGCAGCTTCCAGCCCGCCCAGCCTCCCCTGCACCAGGCTGTGTGGTCCGGCCCCGAGGGCCCCCTCCGCTCCCTGGGCACCAGGCCGGGCCTCACCAGTAGCCACCTCGCGGGTCATGGCGGAGGTGAGGCGCAGCACCGGCCGAAGCATGGTCTTGCCGTCGGGCGTGGGTGTCAGCGTCCGGCTATGCGACTTGAGCAGCAGCCGCTCGTCCTGGCGCTGGAGCAGCAGCAGCAGGTCATCCAGCAGCAGCACGTGGACCTCTGGGGGGTCGAGGCCGAGCTCAGCAGCCCCCAACCTGAGTGCCACCCCACACCGCCCCCTCACCGCCCTGGCGCTCACCCACAGACTTGTCCTTCGTCACCCGCCATGTCAGTGGGCCCTCATGGACCAGCTTCCTCTTGGTGATGTCCAGGCTCTGCAGGCATGAAGGAGTGCTGTTTGGCACGGGCACGGGCAGGGCAGGGAGGGTGGGGACGACTATGGGGCCAGGCACTGCAGTCGGGGGTCAGGACGGGCATCCTGGCTTGGAAGGAGGACGGGGTCAGAGCCAAGGGACCCCTCTCCCTCCCCAAGGCGGCAGGCCAGGGTGGGGCGAGGGCAGGGCAGGCAGGGCCACCTTGAACTCGCTCAGCATGGGGTCGCTGCTCTGCCGCAGGTGGGACAAGTCCAGGCGCTTCTGGTAATCCTTGAGCCGCTGGGGCAGGGAGGGGAGTGTCATGAGGACAAGCCAGGGCTGGGGCTGACCCTCACTGACCCCTGACCGTGAGGGGGACAAGCTGAGGGTAAGGCCCGACTTCTGGTGACCCTGAAAGTGAGGGGCTAAGGACCCTCCTAACCCTTGGCTAAACAGTGACCCCGAGGGGGACAGGCCAAGGGCTGGGCTTGACCTCCAGGTCAGAAGTGACCCTGAGGTGGTCTAACTGAGGGCCAGGCCTTCTCCTGCACACACCCGCCTGCGGCCCTGGGCCTGGGGCCATGCCCAGGCTCACCAGCAGGTCCTCCATGTCTCGCACGGCTTGGTTGACGTGGTGCAGAATTTCCCTGCAGCACTCGGCCGCCAGCTCTACCTTCTCCCGCTCCTCAGGCTCCTCTGTGGGCAAGGGGGACACCAGCTGAGGTGGACTCCAACCCTGGAAGCTCGTGGTCTGGCAGCCAAGCGCAGACAGGATGGCCGGGTACCTGTGTTCTGCCCGATGCTCTGCAGGAGCAGGGGGTACTTGGTCAGGCGCTGCATCTCAGTGGGGATCATGTCCTTCAGCTGCAGGCGGCGGCACCGTGGGCGGCTCTCGGCCTCCTGAGGGGACAGCGGTGCTGAGGTGACCCATGCATGGACCCGCCTCAGGGACAGGGACACTAGCCTCTTCCCCCCGAAACACCCAGCCTCACCCACCCCTGCCTCACCTGCACAAAGGCAGAGAACCGAGGCTCCTTGCGCTGTTTGGCTTTGAGCTGCTCTAAGGCAAATGACTGGCGGCTGCAGAAGCGGGAGGAGATTTTCTGGAACCAGGAGCCCTCGGGACCATCAAACTACAGCAAGATTCAGGCCAGGGAGGATGTCTCAGGTGGGTTCCAGAACAGCCGGGCCCCACACGGGGATGGCAGCCTAGACAGGAGGACAGGGCTAGGGGCCCGGACCCCTGACCTTCACAGGGGAAGGCTGGACACCTGGCCCGCAGGGCCTGGATTCCAGTTTCCTGGCTGGGAGGAGGGGACAGGGGGCTGGGCTGGGCGCCCTCACCCGAGCCAGAAGCACATCTCCGATCTCCTCAATGAGGTAGCCACTGTCCTGTCTCCGCTTCATCAGGCAATCGAGGAATAGGGCTGTGGGGAGCAGGGAGGAAAGGGGGTGTTGTCAGGGCCCGCAAGACTGTATGTAGAGCTGGTGGAGATCTCGAGGGGTTGGGCTGCAGGTGCCTGTCTGATTCTTGGGACTGGTGGGCCGGGCCCGTGACCCTCCCACTCCCTGCCATGGACTTATGGAGGTGCCCCCTGGGGGTCTGGGTGCTAGAACAGGTGCTGCCCAAGGCAGGCACTCAGGAGAATGTGCTAAGCTCCAAGGAGCACGGTGGGCTGCCCACTGGAGACGCAGCCCTGCACTCACAGTGCACCTCGATGAGCTCGTCCAGGCTGGGGAAGATGTTCTGTAGCTCCTCCAGGGGAAAGAAGCCCCCATCCGCCATGGGCTGATAGAAGAGGTCATGCAGCACCCGGAGCATGCGGACATGGGCCGCCTCAGTCACCAGCAGCTCTGTGGGGCCACCGAGCAGGAAGCATGGTTGGGAAGACTGCAAACTACAGGGGATGGTCTGGGGGAGGGATGAGACAGACAACTCTCTGGGTAGAATCATTTGCCCCTGAAGTAGCAACTGAGGACTCCTAGACCCACTGCCTGCCTTTTTTGGCTTTGGCAGCCAGCTGGGGTGACAAGTGGTCCTAGTGCGCTTGGCACCAGTGGGCTTCCCAGGAAGTGGGATTTTCAGTGCTAAAACCAGGAAGGTCCCAGGTAAACTGGGATGCGCTGGTCACCCCACTGCCAGCAAGCCTGCAGCTGTGTAGTGTCTAACTGACCAGCAAGTCTCTCGGCCTTGGTTTCTGGAACAATGAACTCCCTCCTACGTGCAGGCTGACAGTCTCAGATCCAGGGACCCCAGAGGGTGCATGCCCAGGTTCCAGGGGCCCCAAGAGTCCCTGGAGACTAAATGCACGAATCTGTGTGTTATGTGTATTTTTCTGGTTAGTAAAATTGTATGCTGCCTGGTGTGGTAGCTACTAGCCACATTCGGCCCTTCACATTTTAATTAAATGAAGTGAAACAAAATACAAGAATCACTTCCCACTCATAGCTGTCATTTCAAATGCTCAACAGCCATTATGTGGCTGGTGGTTACCATGCTGGGCAGTGTGGATAGTTTATGTTTCAGTCATTCTAGAAAGTTCTATTGGACAGCACTGCTTGTTTTGATCATACCCTCAGAAAGATCTGTGACCCAGAAACTTCACCTGCTGCCTTAAAAATGTGAATGACTACCCTTCCTACTATTAAGTAACCTCTATATAACTTCCAAAAAAGTGTGCTGCTTTTGCCAACCCTGATCTACACACACACAATTCAAAAATCACAGAAAAGAATCAATGATGGGAAACACCCCCATCGTTTTTCTGCCCAGAAGCAGGCACTGCTAATGCATTACCCTCCCAAGCTATTCCCTCTGGGAGCCTTTCTTCCTCCAAATGGTTAAGATCAGAGTTAACAGCAGGGGCACTGGAATGTTCCCCTGCGCACCCAGGCCTCCACCCAAATCCCCTCAGCTCCACAAGCCTTGGAGGCAGTCTGCGCCTGCCCTATTAGTAATCAGGTTACACTGGAAACACGACTATATGCCGCTTCCAGCCCCCAACACCCGCACTGTTCTGCACTGCTGAGGATTCCTAGGAAGTGTCCTTTGGCAGCCACATTCCTGTCCCACCCAGGGGCTGTTCTACAACTTCCTAACAAATGGCCCTCTGCCAGAAAAGGGCTGCTTTCAGGTTCTGCCTGTTCTAAGTAACACCAAGACGGACATCTGCCTGTCTCTGCCAAGACGGATTGTGTCCTGGGCACACGGTGGGTTGGAATGGGTGGCACTCACCGCTGATGACTTCCTGGCGCTTCACCTGGCTCTTGGGGAGGCTGTGCAGGGTGCCTGGGGGCATGAGCTCCCGCCAGCCAGGGGGCTCTTCTGGTTCCAGCTCCAGGGCTGACCGTCCGGGCTCCCCTTCCTCTCCAGGCTCGGGGCTGTGGGACAGAGGCCTCGTTAGGGCCCTGGCTTGGGGCGTCCCAGGGAGACTTCCGCTCCTACTGCCCCACACTCCTCTGTGGCCTCAGCATTTGATTCCCCCAAGGTGGCCCATGCTGCAGAACAGCCCCAAATCTCCAGAAAGAAGGGACCGACCCCTCTCCTGGGCCCACAGGAGGCCCTGAGTGACCTTGGCATCCGACCCCATTCTCTGTGACTCTGGCAACAAGTCTCCCAGCCCCCCACCAACCTCCCTGACTCTTCAGGCTGCCTTAGCAGGTGGGAGGAGTGACATACGTGGGTCGTCGGGCAGGGCCGAGCACGGCCGTGGCGGAGCTGGGGTCCATGTCCACGTCACTCCGGGAGCGGCCCCCACCCCGGCCCTTAGCCCCGAGGCTGCCCCGGGAAGGCCGGCGGCGGTCACTCACCCGCAGGCTCTCTGAGCGCCCCAGACGCCCTGACAGCCTGGACTCCGAGGCCAAGGACAGAATCAGGTAGAGACCAGGGCACAGAGAGGGAAAGACCAGAACAGGGACAGACCAGGACGAATAGACAGGGAGAGACCAGGACAGGGACAGAGGGAAGAGACCAGGACAGACCAGGGACAGGGAGAGACCAGGACAGGGATCAAACATGCAACAGAAAAGAGAGTCAGAAGGAGCAGTGGGATCTCAGGGTGCTGGGGCAGTGGGGGGTGGTCAGGAGGGATACTGAAGTCTGGGGGGGGCACCCAGGATGCAGCGTGGCGGAGCCCTCCCTTCCCTGGGGCAGGGGGATGTGGGTCATTCACTTTGGCCAACCCATGCCAAAATAATGTAGGTAGTATCATTTTTATGTATAATAAAACCTGATAAATTAAAACCTGTGAATAAATACAAGTAATTAAACAAAAAAAGAAGAAAAAACAAAAAAAA